CAGGTTTGAAACTCAGAAGTAATTGTTTGCTGTGCACCATGAATGCAGTTTCCCTTTGAGCTTCAAAAGAGTTGTGGAAAGGCACAGAAATCAAAGGGCACAGCAAGTCAGGAATTACTGGGGGTTAGAAGAGTACAGCTGGACAGTTTTCACAAAGTGAGAACAATTCCACTTGTATTGCCTGGTATTGAAAACAAATCAACAGATTCAAAATTTATCCCATCATGCACACTCCAAAGCCTGGAGGAGCCCCAGTGGACTCACTTGTGCCAGAGGACCCTGAGTGTTTGTCAGGGTGTGTGCATGGAATCTGAATACAAGCACCACAAAAGCAGTGAAACTGAGGGCTAATAAAAGCCTTACCACTTTCAAAATTATTGCAGCTTTTTAAAGACAGAGAAATGAAGGTAAAACTTCTGCAGGTTTCTTTCAGAGAATTCAACACGCTTGGAAAGTTCCATACCAGAATGTTCCCTACACACATTTTCTATCCTCGCTGTGCTTGCTTTTTCTAGTAGATTTTATGTTTGTAAAACAGGCTTGAGAAGCTGAGATAGAATAAAGAACCAGATGGACAACTTTCCCTGAGCTAAAAGATCCATGTGTATTGAAGTGAAGGGAGAAGACCCATCTTCATTGATCAGCATTGAGCTCCGGTTTATTGATTCAAACATTCACTTTTTATAACAGTGTTAATTAAACTCATACATATTGCAAAATCCGAGCTCATCATAGGTTACAGAGCAAACTCTAACACCTCCTTTTGTTTTCAATACCTGTGGTTTGTTTATTGAAACCAAGATTTGTGTTCTCACAACTTACTTTTACTTTCCCAAAACAGACAAAGATAGAATGTTCACCTGTTATGAGAAAACTGTCTGAGAACCCTGCTGTTTATAAAAATGTGCCTGAGAACCTAGTTATTTACAGAAGCAGGCTTGGGAATTGCTGCTTTCAGCTGCCTTTTACTTTTCCATCAGCTGTATTTTTTCATGGCCTTTTTTCCTTCAAGCCATGTCTGAGCAAAATTCTACAACACATGTGGTCCTGCATTGTCTCCTCTTCAGCTTGTGACTGGGCTGTGTGTGAACTGATAACCTGCTTTTACTGACCCTAAGGAACAGCTGATGGCAAAAGCATTCAACAAAATGCTTGCTAAACACTGAAATTTCTTAGCTAAATGTGGCATAATGACACTGATTTTGGAAGTGTGAAGTGCAATAAAGTATTGCCAAATGCTGAAAAGCTGGTGGGTTGTCACTTAGGATCACAGTGATAGGCAGCCCAGGCAGATGATAGAGAACATATTGTAATCATGTATCGAGGCAGCGTCTCAAACACCAGGATGCCACGCAGTGATTAATGTCTAGGGCTTTTTCTGGCTCCTCTTCATAGGAGACTGGCCCAGCCTCCAGCTGTGAACATTTATATGCTGCTGGCTAAGGATATTAACTGTTTATTAGACAGCTGAAACAGGAGGGACTGCATGGATACAGTCAGAGGAAAATGTGTATTAGAAAACATCCTTAAATAATAACACTCAGAGATGTCAACAAATATTCTTTGTGCTTTGCAACCTATCCTTTTCACTTATGGCACTGTATTTGTTACCCATAACATTGCTTTGCTGATAGATTAATTATATAAAGGCCAGACTGTTTTACTAATTGATTACAGAAAAGGATTCCGGTCCAGAAGAACATGAGAATTTCTTCTACTTCTAAATAAAATCTGATTATACTGGAAAAAACTAATTCAGGAACTTGGGATAGATACTTCCCCTGTGTAATAGAAGTGGGCATCCCAGAATGACAAAACACCAGCCTTTCTTCTCTCCAGGTGCATGACAATTATTAATGGTACTTTTAAAGGTTGGGGGATTTTATTATCTTTATAGATGTTAACATAGGGGTTTTTTTTAAATCTGCAGCCTGCTTTTTTGATGATACACCTACTCAGTGAGTACAGCAGATTCTCATTAAGGCTACCTGGCTCCTACACAATAAGCAACACAAAGAAGGATAAAAGGTGTGTACTTTGCAGGAGAGTGGCATTCTCTAGGATGCAAAAGAAGAGCCAGTGATCTGTGCCCAGTGGAAGATTGCTTCAGGGGCTGAGCAATGAGGGGAAAAAAGAAAATCTCCTCTGAGCTGCTGATTCAAACACAGTCCAATCAGGGGTGACAAAGAGTCATTACTTGCCCCTTTTCTCTGCACAAGGAGTTTATCACAGCAGTTCAATTCTCCATGGACAATTATCAACATTACTGAGAAAACCCTGCAATTTCTCTGGCTGCTTGAGCAAAGGCAAACAGGAAAGCAAATGCAGACTGAAATCAGACTAATAACTCCCATCAAAAGGTGACTCTTCCATGACTAAAACCCTTTGATAGGGAAGAATGAAGGAACTTGCATTGCCACTGCCTGTGTTGGATCTCTGCTGTATTTTTTATTAATCCAAGACATCTCTGCAGAGTCATTAAACCACCACCATTCTAATTATGCACCGATGATTAAGCAGATGTGACACTGAGCGAGGGAAATGTTTGATTAATGATCCAGGTGTCTAACTTTAGAAGATTACATTTAGCAGTGCAAATCTGGGGACAGTCAAGCTCAGAAGAACAGGAGAGCTTTTGATTTCAGCCTTTCTCAGTAATGTTATCCTGTTAGGATTGTTGGCCACCATGTCAGACAGCAGAACATTCCCCACTGTTCTCTTCCAAACATACAACAAACTTGCTGGGCCTTCTGCTCTGTTTTCAGCTTTTTATTATCCTTCCTCCATGTGAATACTAATTACTCGAACTGACTATTTTTAAGTATAACACTCTTAACTTTTGGCTGTGTAAAGAGAGGAGGTCTGCAGGAAAAAAAAATACATGTAGGTTTGTTTTTTTTTTTCACCCATAATTACTAAATGGTTGCTTGAATATCATGTATTTTGGATCAGTTTCCCACACTTCTAATTAATAGCAGATATCTAGTGTCTAGAGCTCACTTGGTTTGTGTGACTTGAGGATAAATCAGTTCCATAAAAAGCCCAGGGAAGAACAACTTTGCAAAAAGAGGCGACACCCCCAGTGTGAAGCAGCCTGTCCTTCCCAGCCCATCATCACCTGGCAAGGCTGGGGTGGCATGATGGCCTGAAGAGCCTGTCATGCTGGCACCACACTCTGGAGCACAGGCCAGACACTTCCAGCCAGAAGTGCCTGGATTCCTCTGCGAGGAGACTCAGGCCTTGGCAGCAAAGTCAATTCTGCAGCCAGGGATGCCCAAGCAGCTGCTCAAGCTCGAGGATGCACTGAAGGCACCACACAGGCCTGGCACAGGCCTGGCTGGCCAGGCAGGGGCTCACACAGCCTTGGTAAATGGCTAACAGGGAAAGTGCTTCCTAATGCTTGAGGGTTTGTACTTTACAGACATTCAGCCTTCCACTGATGGCTGTTTTAGCTTTTTCATTTTTCAGATTCTGCACTGCTTTAGTGTGTAGTTCTGAGCTTCATATTAGGGGATAGTAAGCTCTCTTCACAGAGTAGGGAGACAAAACAATTCCTTCTCTAGCTGGGGACCAAGGACAAGTGACCCAAATTTCAGGCCCAAGAGCCTAAACAACAGTGGACTATAAGTGGACAATTAACTCCAATATGCAAATGGACCAGAACTTACTAAAGTGGGAGACCTCATGATCGGTCATCCATTTTTTGACCATTTTGGGTTCACCTTGGGTGCAGCCTTGGCTGGACTCTTGTGCTGCCCAAGGTGGATCCATTGAGGCCCTTCAATAAACACCCACTTTATTCTTTACCTCCATCTAGGTCAGCCTTCACAAGGCATCACCACCCAGTTTTAATTGTGTCTGAAAGCCTTTTTTGGGCTAAGAGGCCCCTGAGGCACATCCCAGCATATGGAAGGTGCAGCTCACAGAAGGGGAGTCACACACACACCCACCCATTAAAATAGAATTCTCTCCTCCATCCTTCTCCATCTTTACACTGACCTAGGAAATCAGCATCAAATTATTTCTACTGAAGTTCCATTCCCCTTTTTCTTGTTTGAGGAGTTAGAAGTAAAGGTTCTGCTCTCCTCTTTCTTGTTTGAGGAGTTAGAAGTAAAGGTCACCTGAGGCTTTATGCTTTGAAAAGAGGAATCTCTATCAGCAAAGGCCAGGAACAGACCAGGAATAAAATCAGCCTTTGCCAAAGAGCGCTGATGAAAGTGAATCATCCTTTTGAGTCTGCAGGTGTAAAAGATTTTATTAAATTAAAAGTACAGGGATTAACAATAACAGCCAGTGGTCTGCATGGAGTATTTATGAGGAGAGATTGACAAGCCACACAATTAGGCTGCAAAACCCTGATAAACGAGAATTACAGGGTGGAATGTAAGTGGTATCCCTGAGAATAACAGTGCCAAGCAAAGCAAAAGAAAATGCAGACTAAAGAATTAAAGTACTTCTCAGCAATTACTGCTAGTCAGAAACCATTCTTGACCCTTTGCTGGTCAAGAGGAATAATCCCCAATCATCTACTCAGCCATTAAAGCACAGAGAAACAACTAAACCAGAGATTAATATGACATTTTTCTTTCCATATTTATTTCTCTTAAGGAAAATATTCCTACGAATCTTGAACAATTTCCCTCTTTTCTAATAGTGAAAAACTCTCAACATTTAAGTAGCACTCCCACCTTTTATGAAACATGTTTTCCTGATAGGTAGATTCCCCAGAACATATGCCAAGCATGATCCATCCTTCAGATGGTCTGAACAAAGCACAACCAACAGCAAATCCTGCAACATCCTGTTATTTACACATAAACCAACAAATAACTTCATTTAGAAATCATTCACTGACAGAGGAATAGATTATATTTTTCATTTATATGCAGGTTATAAACATCTCCTCTAACTTTTAGATATTGTACTCTCTCCCTCCCATAGCAAGAAAAAATGTTAGCAGACTTTCACTGGGAGAGAAGCAGATAATATATATTACTTACAAAAGTTGTGTTTTCCAGTAATAATGTAGTTGTATTTGTTTCTACATTCAGTTCAACAACATGTCCATTCCTGGTTTTATACACCACTGCTGTATCTGCAATGACAAAGAAATGAGCAGTCAGCAAACACACTGACAATTTAATACCTCTGTAGAGAGAACCAGCAGGTTAAATTAATTACTGTATCCTTATTATTACACACAAACAAGACAGAAGTTTTGTTGATTTGCCTCATGAGCCTCAAAATTAGCAGTTTATACCCTATAGACTGCTCCCCTCATTCAACACATATATGTTTTGGCCAAATAGCAAAGTAAAGTTTTGCAAAAAACCAAAATATTTTGTTGAACATCATATTCACATCTCCTTAGAAGTGATTCCAACAAAACTTCTGTACTGGTCTGTATTTCTGGTGACTGGATGGACAAATTTTGACTATTTTAAGACAGTCCATATTCTGTGTGATTCATTTTGGGCTGCAGAATACTGAATTTCCTTGTGATCTGAATGTTAGCAGTTCACACAAGCTAACACAAGCAAAGGAGGGTTAAAGCAAAGTAGGTTCACTTGAAAAACATTTAAAACATTGTGGGATGAACTGTTGCAACTTTTTCCACTCACTTGATTTATCATTTCTTTCATAAAAAAGAATCCAACACATGTCAAGGAAAAAAAAGAAATCTGTAATTAATTGGGATTTCTATGAAAAATACTTTGCATTTGCTTGTATCAAAACCTGCAAAATTACCAAGAAATACACAATTACTACATCAGCCTTGAGTTAAAAAAAAAGTTCCAAATTTTCCACTATTTGTTACAAGATTGAATAGAGTGCTGATTCTCGCAGATTATTCAAGACCCACATAAGAGATTTATACTTAATTAAATGAAACAGTTTTATTATAACAGTATAAAAAGCATAAGAAAATTTCTAAATTAAGCCTAAAGGAAACACAAAAGAACTTCCCTGATCTTCAGTAATGTCTGAGAAATTAATTACAAATCCCTGAATTTTATGAAGTGGGAAGTCAACATGACTGGAGAAAAAGGTTATGCTATCATAAAAAAAAATGCTTTGCTTATTCAGAAAAATGTAGCTCTATTTTAATTTACTCCACACCAACTCAAGATATCCAGCACTAGTGAATGTCCTCTGGTAGGTTCTGTAAAATTAACGAAGCATCATGTGAAGAACTTACTAAGCTATTTTAGGGCCATGGCTGGAAGTGGGGTGAGATTGATGGAGTTTAGGACAGGATTATTAGAGCTGCTGTTTAGGAAGGCAAACCAGATTGTGAATTGTGGAATTAAGAGCAGCTCATTTTAAAGAGAAAATATTTCCAATATTCATTTTGAATAAAAAGGAACAGCACTTCACAGACAGTTATTTGGTTTCAGGTTACCAATTACAGAACATGGCTGTTTCTGCAGCTTCCTTTAGGCTATTTTGCATTTACTCTTTTAGGAACCCCAGCACTGGAAATCTCCAATGACACTGGATCACAGTGCTGAGTTTTATAGAAAGAAATGAAGTTGTCTAAAGAGCTGTCCCTAGTTATGATTGAGCCATATTGTGAGAAATGGCATAAATAACCCAGGACACTGAACAGCAGTGCTCCAAACCATGCATTTTGACCCCATAGGTGACACTAATGTGCTAAAATCCAAATGAGTACAGAATGTTACTCCTTCTCATTTATCTACTCTCCTACATGTCATTTGCCAACAGAATTTATAGCACTGTGCCTCATTAACTAATCCTACCAAAAGAAACTCACTCAAAAAAGCACTTTCCCTTAAAATTCCTAAGTGGACCACAAAAAAAAAATACACAGTCCTAAGGCTCTTCTTGCAAGTCCTTCACAAGCTGTGAAACAACATTTGGAATGGCAAATACTGTGAGAGACACAATACAAGCCTTTGTTCTAAAGTTAGAAGAAAATTTACTCAATAAATCAGAACAGAAAACTGAGTCAGACCTCTTGAAAAATCAGGCTTTACTGGGCAGGAATTATACCTCTCTTTGAACTTGGATTCGCTAGTTACCTCATGAAGGTAAATGTATGGTGATTTGCAGGTAAAAGATTATACCAAAATCTCATGTAAACACAGAGCATAACAGTCTTCAAAAGTAATCATAGTAATTAATATGGAAGTAACATGCTAAACAATATTTTTTTCAGGTTGGGTAATGTGATAGCTGATGATCACACCACATGAGGATTTTTTTCATTGATTGCTCAAATGTTAATTAAGAGCCATAAACACAGATTTGTTTTTTTTTTTTTTTTTAATTTTGTTATCTAGAATCAGAAATTCTACAAAAGAAACCGATTCCAAGTCCTTAGCCTCATCCAGTTGCACAGCTGACGGATTTTTTATTTATTATATTGGTGCCTTCACCAGAAGAAGGTTCAGAGACCTCTGACACTTCACAAAGACTTTCGGAGAAGTGGAGTTCTTAATTCAAAGGAATTCTCATTTAATTTGAAACAAACAGTAGTACCATGTGAAAAGCTCTCAGCTGGACACAAATTGCAGCCCTGAGGAGACATATTATTGATCTGAGGACATCACCAGAATAAAAAACATCCTGTCTTCAGCAAAGGAGAATGTGAGGAAGCCTCTGTAAAGATGTGCTATTGAGTCACCAGCCCTGGATGATGCACACAAAAACAGCTTTGAAAACAACTGATTGAAAATTTCCTGATTACAATAGTTCTCAAATTTCTGAAAAGTTTGGAAACTTCAGAGCAGTGAATAACTGATTCATTTATTCTGTTTTACTAAAACACGAATACAGACAACCAAGGCTCTGTATGTAAGCTATCCTGACATCAGTACCAAAGAAAATAATGGCACTATAAATCCAGGATTCTCCCCACAAAAATAATGGCTGGCAATATAATGAACACCTAACAGCACTTTACAGAACATAGATCTTGTTAAAAAAATTGAAAGTCCTTTATTTGATAGAGGCCACTCTGCTGAAACTGTGTATTGGGTTTTCATCCAAGGTATTTGATTTATTTTATGACCTCCAAAGCTTACATTAAACAGAATTAATGGGAAACACATTAGGAGGATTAAAAACAGTATAACTAAAAAAATAAAGAGGTAGACAGGGTTATTATACACAACTATAATTGGAAGAATTGATTGAATGGAAGAATTGATTCCATCTTGATTTTGACCTTATTTCTAAAGCTGACTGAGAAGGAGTGGACACACATCCCTGCAGGACAACTTGATGCTCAATAGGTTCTCTACAACTTCTTTGGCTTTCACAAAGAATGCAACATTAAATAAAATATTAGATGAAAACAAACTCAAACAAAAATCTGGGATTGTCACAGCAGAAAAATTCACCTTAGTCAGCAACATCCTCTTATAGAATTGTGCTAGCTGCAGAACCAACAGGAATTCATTGTGAAGCTAAATGTCCAAATTCCTATACTATTGTATGTTTTTAAAAGTAAATATTTTCATCATCTACCCTATCTCTAGGCAAAGAACATGGAATATACACTCTGCTGAAATGGTTAATCCATACATTTTAAATCACAGTTTGGATAGATATAAATATGGCTCTCAGTGACAGCACTATTACATAAATACAGCGCCATGATAATCTCAAGTATTTTTTTTTTAATAAAAGCAATATTTCTTATAAATAGCTTCACTAAGACTATTGTTTCTGGTTTAGGTTTAACACTGCTAAGGGTTTAGTTTAAGATCAGGGTATGAGTTGGCAGGAAATGCAGCCCTCTACTGTGCCTGACATAATATAAATTGTTCCTGGGAATGTCAAAGTACAGGCAAACTATCATAAGATGAAAAGAAATCAATGAAAAACTTTTCCTACTTGACAAGCAGCTTGACCCCCATCAATTTTGCAATAATTTCTTTCCCTCCATTTATTGAATTTACCCCCATTTATTGAATTGGCAACATGCTACCACATCCTAAATGCTACAGAACTCCTTTGTTACTCACAGTTACACAAGGTATGTTCACATGAACCAAAAAAATAATCCAAGACCTTGTAAATGCCAATGAAAAATCCTGTGGTATTTTGGGGGAAAATGGAGTAACTTCCAGTCTTAAATACATCCCCATATTGCAAATCAATCCCTGAATTGTCCTAGTGCAAGAATTTGGGCCCGAGGGGCCTTTCATGATTTATCTTTGTGACAGCAGGACACTGAATGGTTGTGGCCTATTTGAAGAGCATAAACTCTAGTTTCATGTGTCACTGAAATTAAGCAATTAATCTTGTTATTTAAATGACATAGACTGAATTGAAAAGACACACTACCACACACTTTCAAACCTCTTGAATTTCAGTCCAGTGTTCTATTCACTTTTACATCTATATTGATCCAACTTTTATTAGTTGGAAGTCTTCCTCTTTTATTGGTGGAATTTTCATCATTAGACCTGCATGTGACACAAAAAGCTCCAGGATGCTAATCACATTTATTCTTTTTCTGCCATGGAGTCTTCCTGTGTGCCCTAAGATGTTGACACATCTTGTTGTTCTATCTCTGTAATTCAGCAGCAAGTCAAGAGAAGAGAATTGTGTCCTTCATGTGAATGAGCAAAGGGGGTGTGAAATGTTTTGCTGTTTCTGCAGATCCCTAAATCTGGGATATTTTACAAGAGATTGCAGACCAATAGACATATGAGACATTATCAACCAAGTATTAAAAGTCTTCTGTGTTGTACTTGGAAAGATCCAAAAGCCTCAGGAACAAGTGGGGCTTCCTTGATGAAGTATGAAAGCAGGAATCCTGCCCTGGATGAATAAGAATTTATGAAAATACAGAGACCCATCACAGGCTCACTAAAGCCACAGGACTAAGATTACTGAATCTGAGCCTCCACTATCCTGTGAATATTTCATCTAAGCTAGGCAAGACTTGCATTTCTACCTAGTCTATTCCATTCTCAGCGGTTTTAAGTGATGATTTTTGAGCTATGAATACACATTGAGTTATTCTTTAGCCTCAGATAGACATCATGGCAGCCCAAGCTTATTATAAAACTAAAACCTGTAAATCTACATTGCCATCATGTTCACTGAGATTATTCA